ATGACAAGGAAATATCGTCTACACGAAATTCCATAAGCCGAACGTCATTAGAACTAAATCTCAATAGAGAACATTTTCATAAAACGGTGGCCAAATAAGGGATCATTTGAAGAAACATTCTAGAGATTTTCCAAGCGTAGCTTAGATGTGGCACAAGGCCGAATGTATTGGGCATCCAGTGAGGATCGAACTCACTTTTCAGTAGTAACTGATGTAGCAAGCCAAGCTTGCTAACCATTACACCACGCCGAGGTGCCCTAGTGATTTTCTAAGCCCGGCTTAGATGTGGCACAAGACCGAAAGTATGGGGCACCCCGTGACGATCGAACTCACTACTCAGTCGTAATTGATCAAGCGAGACAAGCTTTCTAACCATTACACCACGCCGAGGTGCCCAGTGATTTTCCAAGCGTAGCTTGGATGTGGCACAAGGCCGAAAGTAAGGGGCACCCAGTGAGGATCGAACTCACTACTCATTCGTAATTGTTCTAGCGAGACAAGCTCGCTAACCATTAGCGGTGCCCTGAAGGAACATTCTAGACATACAAAAAAAAAAATCTTATCTATATTATACCCAGCCTATTATGCTCATATTTGATTGTTGTTGTTTCAGCCGTTAGGTTTTCTGGTCTTTAGGCTTCTCTTAGTCCAGATAAACTTCGCGGGGCTATAGCCTAGAGAATTAAAGCTTTGCTACGTTAATTTTGTTGAATAGTAAATTTGAGTTCAATCACCAAGGCTGGTACTATACTCCAAGACTTAGTCGAAACAGGACTAGCAATAAGTCAGGTGTAGCAAAAAGAAAAAAAAAGACGAGATATGTCTAGAAATGGACAGCGGAAATAGACATTTCTAACCTGTTGATTAGTTAAAATGTTCATTTCGAAAATCCTTGTTCGAAAAGCTAATAATTATGTTCAGAGGGCACAACTGTCGATACGTTTTGGTAATGACAGAAAAGATAATAATATAAAAAAGATCAGGCATACCAGAAATTCAGACAGATGATGTAAATATTTATAAATAACATTCTAACAAAACAGACAAGTATAGCAATAATTTTTTCCTCTATTCTGGAGTAGTCTTTTTTTTTAGCGATGTTGGTAATCTTTTCGGAGTCGAAAGAAGAATTTCTTGAATAAGAGGTGCATTTTCGAGTATCGCTGAATACTATTTCTTTGTTTCTCACATTAATATCCGAAGGATGTTTGGCCTACAGCAATATGATAAAAAGCAAACATGTTTCAAAATAATAGGTTATTTTTTTTTCTTGTTGGCACTGTGGATATCAAAACTAGAAAACAGGCCAATTGTAAAAAGCATTTGATCAAATTTATATATTCTTGAAGAACTTTCTGGTAACCATCATTATAAAGCCCGCGCATTAAATGGTGCTTTACACACGTCAAGCAATTATCATTGTGCCAAACATAGAAAAAGCTAGCTGCATAACCTAGTGTCCTGCAGATATGATCAGGGAAATATAAAGACCTTCATACATGTACTGGAGGTTCTATTATCCACACAGTGGGAAGTATATCCTTTCTTTCTCACTTCTACTGAGTTTACTGACCTTTATTTTATAATATACTTATCTACGCGGGTAATATGTTAGAAGATTGAAGATTTACATTTCTCCCGATGGTCTCAAGCAGAGTTTAGGTTAAAATGTCCTCTCAAGGCGGGAAAAAGGGTTAGTTAATGTCATAAAAGCAAACCAGCTCTCAGATGCGTGGAAAACAGATTTTTGGGTGGGCCTCAAATGATAACAGTTTTCTCTTTTTATACAGATTTGATTTCTATCTATCTATCTATCTATCTATCTATCTATCTATATATGTATCTATCTATCTATCTATCTGTGCGCCTGTCTGTCTGAAACTGTTCATGTCTCAATATTAATCTATTCATAGATATCAAGATGTCTGATTATCTATCAATGTCCATATGCCCCTCTATCGTAGTATATTCATAACTATTAATCTATCTCAGTCTTTTCAAATCTATTTCCCTCTCTCACTTTCTTTCTTTCTTTCTTTCTTTCTTTCTTTCTTTCTTTCTTTCTTTCTCACTCTATCTTTCTACTGGATACGATGAGTAAATTTTCGCCATTTTATATTTTTAATTTCGCGCATGCGCATTGTTTGTTTTTATTTTCTCAACTGCACAGTATAGTAGGGTCAGTTGGGCATTCTCTGTGAGAAAAAAGGAGCACCATGACACAATTCACACCGTCAGAAATTTGGAAACGGCATGCTGTACTGATTGGCATTCGCGCTGAAGCTCCAATAGGAACATTTCACAGACAGCGCAGAGGATTCAGAAAGAGTTGGATGAGGCTAATGGTGATTACGAAGGTACGGCAGTTCGGAAAACTCACTCTGATTGTTCTGATAAGAAAATATCCCCCGAATTTGTTGGTGAGGCCCTCAGACTAAACACGGAGACATACATAAATCGCCTTGATGAAGTAGTGCTGCCCTGGGTCAAGAAGGTGGCTGCTGGAAGATCCTAGGATATCTGGGTCATGTTTAATTGGAAAATATGAAAAAATAATGAATAATAACGGAATTCTTCGTTTTGTTTCAATTACGTTGCACAATATATATATATATATATATATATATATATATATATATATATATATATATATATATATATGAAAAATTATTATTTAAATATTCATGGGATAAAGTCATCAATATCAGAGATATAGCGTATATAAATATAAAAGTGAAAATTGAAGTCAACACTCTGCGACGACAGGCTGTTTTATGCTGGACGCAATCGTCAGGCGCCCTGACGATTGTGTCTAGCAGAAAAACCTTGTTGCCTCTGAGTGTTGATTTTAATGTTCACTTTTATATATATATATATATATATATATATATATATATATATATATATATATATATATATATATATATATATATATATATATATATGTGTGTGTGTGTTTTGTGTTTAACTATCTATCTATCTATCTATCTTATCTATCTATCTATCTAAACTGCGATAAAAGAGAAATCTTTGAGCCGTGTTGAAATCCTTGCTTAGTCCATCGGCTTCAGTCGTTAATTTCCTGTCCAAGCCTTGGATAAAATTAAATAGCAGCATAGACTGACTTCTAATTGTTTTGATAAATTTTCCTCTATGGCACATAGAATTAATGAATTTAAGCTGATTATTTAACTGTTGAAATGCCTAGTTGTAACCCTATGTTCTATATTAAAAGTTTCGCATGTCACAATTCTCGATCATGGAACTCTCTTCCGGCTTCTTCCTTTCCAGTCACCTTTAATTTTTTAAAAATGTAAATGCAATATCAATCGTTATCTCTTGTCTTCTTAATTTCTATTCTTTTATTGTTCTCTCTCCTTAATAATGTTTCTTTTTTTTATATTCTTTCACACTCAATAAACCCTTGCGTTTTAGTGGCTGTATTATTTTGCTTGGGGTGAAATGATTAAAAAAAATCAGTAAAGAAATAGTCAATAATTGGCAATTCCAGAAATTAATAATTCATTTTAATAAAAGTCGCTAAATAAAACAAACACCAAATAATCGATCCTATGTCTATGGAAGAAAGAAGAATCAAATAAAATATTTAAAATAATAACCAAATGTAGATAAAACCAAATAAAATATGTATTACTGCCATAAATAGTCACCAAATTGTTTATCGCAGCGAACCACGATAAATTGCAAGGCGCGTGACATCGCATAATATAACATTGTCGAAGTACAATCGTCATCGTCATTATCTGCTCGTCTGCTTTATTCATTCTGATTTGCTTATTCTGTTTCTCATGATATTATTAAATCAAACTACTTTCTAAAAACGCTTGTCTTCGCCTCATTTGTGTTCGCCAGATTTTTCACTGTATTTTTCTCATAGACATAAGGGTAATAGAAGTATTTTTGAGCTTATTGACATAGGAGGCGTGCAAGTATTTTTGATCTTATAGACATAAGGGCAATATAAGTGTTTTTGGTCTCATAGACACAAGGGTGGTGTAAGCATTTTTGATCTTATTGACATAGGAGCAATATCATATTTTGATCCTATTTAAATAATAGGCGTAAAAGCATTTTTCATCTTATAAAACATAAGGGTCGTATAAGAATTTTGATCTTATAGACATAAGGGCCATATAAGTTGTTTTGATCTTATGCACGTAAGAGTCCTATAAGGTTTTTTTTTATTGACGTAAAGGCCGTATAAATATTTTGATCTTATTTACATAAGCGGTGTATAAGTAGTTTTTATCTTACAAACATAAGGGTCGTATAAGTATTTTGATCTTATGGACGTAAGGGCTATACAAACACACTTGGTCTTATTGATATAAAGTCCGTATAATTATTTTTGATCTTATTGACAACAGGCCTGTTATAAGCAGTTTTGGTCTTATAGACATAAGGGCCGTATAAGCATATTTGATCGTATTGAAATAAGGACTGTATAAGTATTTTTGATCTCTATTGACATAGGGGCTGTATAAATATTTTTCCGCTTGAAGACATAAGGGTCATATAAGTATTTTTGATCTTATTGACGTATTTTTCGTCACGGTGTCTTTATTCAGAAAGTTCTTCTCAACGTTCATCAATGATATACTTCATTATACAAATATAGCAAAGATTATTCGCCAGAACATTTTTCCTGGGGTAATTAATCAGTTGGTAAATCAAGAATAATTTACACTGGCCACATCAAATAAATTATTCGACCGACGAACTGTTGACAATCTGACAACGAATTACATTGAATAAACCAAGCAGAGTTTTATTCGTTCCAAAGATTTCCGAAAGCCACACAACCTCCGCTCGTCAACGCTAGCCACTTTTTATACACAACAAAAGCTGGCTGCTCGAGCCAGAGTTCATCTTAGAAGTTTTTTTGAAACGTTAATTTAGATTAAAATAGGCGGTGGCTTGAAGGTGTTTATCTGAATTGCATCTGTGCAGGTTGAAGAATTTTCTGCAGAGCTAGATTTTCACACAATGTGCACAGTCGGATGCCAGTCTACAGAAGGCTGGCCTGGCTGACACAATCGTTCCATTGGGAACAAACAGACTGGAAAAGACACGACCACAATGCACGTTGACTTCAGTGAATAACTAAAGAAAAGCGAACGAGAGAGAAAAGTAAAAAAAAAAAAAGTATGTGCAAAAGCGACAAGGGTGTCTGATGAATTTGGGGTTGTTGATGAAATAAAGACAGTCGAAAGAAAAGGAAAATAAGAACAAAAAGAGAAAAGTTTAGTAGAGAGATAGAAATAAAAGAGGAAAGATAAGTTTTTCTTACTCACACTCTTTTTGGACACACGCAGAACCTACCTGTACTTTATACTGTAAACAAGGATGAGTGGATCTTAGCTACAGTTTCTGGGGAAGAGCGTATATTCTGGAAATCTCGATCACGATGACTCATGATTTCGTGCTAGCACAACAGTTCTCTATAACCAATTTCAATCACAAGGTTTGGGTAAAACACATAGTATCGTTTTCAGCCCAAGATACAAATACAAGCTAAACAGCCACTTATCAGCTGTCAATATACCTCATAAGTGCCTCGAGCACTTAGCCTTGGAGCCAGTAGGATGGAGATCAACGTGTTTTAGTGGACTCAGAAGTTTTCATTCAGCTTGTCTGAATCGTCTTCAAGAATCGAGAGCAAGATCTAAAAAGGCCAGCCAATCTAACAGTGATCTCATCCCACAATTCTTACTCTTGCTGCATATGCGACCTCCTTTGTAAATCTCTAGCGGGTGTTAAGTGGCACTTAAGATTATCGCACAAAATTTCATAATTGAATGAATTAATTTTTCAGATCCTCATACGTCGAAACCGACGGGAGAGTCCATTATATATATATATATATATATATATATATATATATAGTTTTAAGGTATGCTATATTTATGAGTTAAAGTGGTCAGGGACAGAGCGTATATTAATATAAAAATGTACATTGATGGCAACATCAGAAGAGACAATCTGTTTCATGTTTAAAAGCATTCGTCACGGCGTGGATTGCGTTTAAACATGAAGCAGACTGTCGCCTCTATGCTTTGATATGAACATCCACTTATATATATATATATATATATATATATATATATATATATATATATATATATATATATATATATATTTTATGCGCGCCCACGTCTGTGTATAAATAAATGTTTAGTTATTCATTTCGAATAGAAAAGGAGGCTATTTTGTTTTGCTAATCCCCTGTTGCAGACGTCTCCTCGTGCGCATTTGTACATATTCATATTGACATATTCATAAAATATAATTAACATTATCGTCTTTGTCATGTTGAATTGATAATGTTAATTATATTTTATGAATATGTCCTGAAGATGGTTTATTAGACCGAAACGTCCGACGTTGACATATTAACATTAAAACAGCATAATTGTATATAAGGATTTTTGTTTGTTTTTTTTTTTTTTTCCGTATATTTTTTCTTCATACTGTCGGATCTCTATCCATATATTTGCTTGCAAAATATATATATATATATATATATATATATATATATATATATAGATAGATAGATAGATAGATAGATAGATAGATATTGGTAGAGAAGGACAAAGCAAGTTTTTGACAGACGTATACGGCCTTATCTTTTGTCGTCAAAAAGTGAAGTTTAAGCAAAAAGAAAGAAAAAAAGAAAGAAAGAATTGAGAGAAAAAGGCGAAAGAGATTTTTTGGCATGATAGATTGGCAAAAATCAAGGAAACGTGAGGTAAAAAAAAGCGAAGAGGGTAAGGCTGCCATAGCCAACAAAAGGGACAGAAGACGAGATCTGAGATCCAAAATGAGAGCCATAGAAGACAATCACATAATAGACCCTTCCAAATAACAGGATCGTATTTTGTTGAAGAATTCTTAGAAGTCATTTGCCTAAATTGTATAGGAGAGAAAAGGTGTGAGCAGAAGTAACAACGGAGAAGACAGACAGACAGACAGATAGATAGATAGATAGATAGATAGATAGATAGATAGAAGAAGCGAATTGTTCAGGACAAAGAATTCACTGATAGACAAATACCTACGAACGAAGACGTAGAGCACAGGAAATGTTCTCCTGGTGCTAAATGACGCGTAAATATTTTGCTTGAAGCAAATTAAGGTGGTAGATCATGTGACCTATTATTTCGTTAGGCCTTGCAGCTTAGTAGCTCACTTTAGCTTTCATCCGAAAAATAGTTCTTTGTATTTCATTTAGTGGCATGAGTTGCCTTCGTGTTATGGTCTTTTGATCGTCAGTCATTACGCGTCTCTTTCTTTTGTGTGTGTATGCATGTGCGCGCATCTGTGTACGTTTGCCTGTGTGTATGTGTGTGCGTGTGTGACATTATGTATCTACTTGTTTTTCTATGTCTTTCTTCAGCGTCTACAATGTGGCTTGGCGAATTTTTGCAGGCGCATGCGCATAATTTAAAACGTATATCACTGTAATAAAGTGGAGATCTTATTTCGCACCGAAAGGCTATCACCTATAAATTGTTTGCAGATCCTTATATGAACAGCAGAAAAGCCTGAACGATGCCGTCGAATGAAATCTTTTTCGAACTTACAAATCTATTCCACAAATGTTATATCACTCTTGAGTAAATAATATCAGAGATGCATCTCTGATAAAATTGTTTATACGTATGTTGGTTTTACAACAACGACGATGATGAGAAGGCTTACTATTCACTTGAACGATCATAGTTCAATCTCTGAACATTTAAAAGAACACTCATGTACACATGCACAGCTTAGAAAGGTATTAGTCAAAAACACATCAGATAAGATAATAATAAGCAAAATCTTAAAGCTCTTTATATAAGAGAATTGTGGCCAAAAATAAATAAAACAAACAACGAGTATAGCAACACAATTCTTTAATGTTTGTAGCAGCAAACTGTTATATAAAAAATACTAAATTAAAATACTACAATTAAAAATCATTCTGAATTTTTTTAACACAACCTATTAAAAATCACATAAGTTACCTAACTTGGACAGAGGTAAAAATATTTACGGTGTTAAGGCATAACAGACACACATACATACATACATACATACATATATATATATATATATATATATATATATATATATATATATATATAACCCAAATGAGTTTGAAAATACTGGGGAAAAAAAAAAATTATTTGAAAGAAAATTTTGGAATTTTTCATAATCAATTTTCTAGTCACCAAGAAATTAATTTGTGAACTTGAAAGGATTAAAACTAAAATAGATAGACATAATACATATAAATAATTTCACACACACACACACGAACACACACAGACACAGACACACACACACGCGCGCGCGCGCACACACACACACACACACACACACACACACACACACACACACATATATATATATATATATATATATATACATACGGTGGACTCTCCCATCGTAAACAATAAATGAGAGTCAGCATTGGATGGTGCTTTTCGTCTTACACACATGAAACTATTGGACACTACTTTGAACAATAAGAATGTATAATTGCTATCCAAGCTTAACAGAAGAATCGTGGTCAGTCGATCATAAACGAAGACGGCATGTTCATCATTAATTAATCATAGCTAAGGATCGGAATCTCATGAAGGATTGAAATTAAGATCATATATATGTATATATATATATATATATATATATATATATATTCCAGGGTCATTTTCGAACTTATTCAAGATGATCTTCGCCCTCTCTAATCCTCTAACGTTCTGTTCTGGAGCAACAAGATATCTGACAGGTTTCACGTACGATTTCATTTTCAAGTCTTATTATGGATTGAGTTGGATCTTTTCTAACTGATCTCTTTACCTCTAAATTGCATTGATGATTCCTCTTCTTGTTGTGACTCTAGAAATCATAGTATGAATGTTGCTACCATTACTGAAGGCCTAGATGATTTTTTTCTCACCTTTTCTGAGTTGTGAAGACAGTGGGTCTGACACAAAACGATTTTAACCTGTTCTCTTTCTAGCTGAATAACTCAAATTGTTTTTCAATGATTCTTACGACAAATTGTGTCAAGATGGATAAACGTCTTATTTGAAAACCTGAAAAAAACCTCAATTAGTTTAGTGGTTCTTTAGAATTTAAACATTTTGTGGCATGGACAATTATGCTGTTACACGATTTGGACAGTTTTGCTGTTACACCCGGTATATATATATATGAAAGCAGGTCGTATAACGGCAGGCTTTCCATATCAAGATTGAAAACTAACGCTGATGGAAATTCCTAAAAATTGCAATATATTAAAAATCTTTAATGATAATTCAAGCAAAAAATATAAAACATATACAGTAGAACATATTAATGCATTCTTTATTCCAGTTTTTTTAATCTATTTGTTTAACTAGATAAATAAATATTGGAATATTGTCAAAAACAACATTGGCAGGGGTAAGGGATAAAACGAGAAGATGCAGTAAAAAAGCGAGAGATGTTTCAGAGGCATCCGATCATAGTTGCCAGAAATTTCCACGAGTCTACGTAGAATAAATTCTAACATTTTCCGTCGCAAGATTCATTTGTCTGCGACTTATTAATATGACACCAGTTAAACAAATGTTATTCCAGACAATATTTCATTGTTTATCCAGTTGATAATTTAAAATGAATGTGTTTACTAAGTGGCATTATATTTCTAAGTGTAAACATCATTGTGAATATTTTCATATTCCAACTAATTGTTCCGAATATTAATAACTCTGTTTCAACACTGATTAATCCATATGGTTTGAATTCACTAAATCAATAATTGTCCACGAGAACAGTTTGTAAACCATCGCACAACGGTAAATCTTCATTGTATGTAAGCGTGAATGTGTATATGATTGTATTTCTTCTCATAACTGTAAGAAATTGGCTTGGGAGATTTATCAAACATTTGTAAAGTTTCAGCATTTGAATTTTGGATCATATAATTCAAAGACTTTGTGTGCTTCAGCGGTTGTTAAGATAGGATAACATCGGAAACGGATGTTAGTGTTCCAGCCTAGGTACTAAACTATAGTTTAAATGTTGATTTTTAAGCCAATTCGGTCGTTTCCATGTGTAAGTTGGTTGATTTTGTTTAGAGGACTATCAACCGTTATGGGTTATTTAATGTCGAAATCTGAATATTTTCTGATGGTTTCGACAAAAGATATTTTATACTTTCAGAGTAAAAGTGTTTTTTATAGATATATAGTTTGTAGGTCACAAAATGATTGTAACTGTACTATAAAAACGTACTGCTGAATTTTGCTTAGGGGTTCACTATTTGCTCAGAACTGGGACTCTAACAGGTCCTACAACCCCGGGTGAGGGTAGACCTGGAAACAACAATAATTCAGAGGTGATTCCATACCCCTCAAAACCTCCAATATCCCGATCAGAGATCTTGCTGTCGGATTATACCCAGGACGATCTATGTGCAAGAAAAGTTTTACAATTTTTTTAGATAGATATCATGTTTAGATAGTGTTCGATAATAATGTTTCGCTAATGTTTACTAACAAATAATAACGTTTAGATAATTTTTACATAACGTTTTAAGTAATTTGCCTGAGCAGACGTCTGCAATGGGGATTCGCTAGACGCCCTAGTAGACTGGAATGATGATGATTCGTCCCTGTGTTTAAGGTAAGGCAGGTTTTAACTGTAAATGGCTTAACTGGTAGAACTAGAGGAAATTATTTCGTCAGAAAATTTTCCATGGAAATAGATATAGGTTGGTAAAAGTTTGTAACGTTGTAACATTGCGTCGGTAATATATACTTTGCAAATACCAATAATAATCCACCCTCCATCGTGAATGATGACTCTATGTCCAGTCAATAGTTGACCTTCTACCTTTTAATTTAATATTAGGTTGGTGCAAAAATAATGACGTAATAATGTCGTTTTTTGACCTTAAAAAAATACGTCAAAAAACGACATTATTACGTCATTATTTTTTGCACCAACCTAATAGTTTATAATAGTTCATAGCTAAAAAAAATACTAATAATAAGTTAAATAATATTACAACATAGAATAAGAACAAATGGAGAAATAAGAAGAGAAAATAAAATCCTTTCTAATCCATTTAAAATTACGCCCTGTTTGAAATTATTAAGTAAAAACATATATACTGCATTAATTCAAATTTGGTTTGAAAGAAAATTGTCAAATTTTAAACAATCAATTTAGATGTCAAAACAAAGACTGAGTTAAACTTTTAGGTAGTATCAATATGTTTTATTGAAATTGTTTGATGTATTCTAAAAAAATCTGCCGTCTGAAATTATTAGGCAAAACCAAATCGTCACATTTTACTTCAATAAAAATCCCTCGAGATTCAAATATCACTCGAAATTCGCCCGTGAAAACTACTTTAGAAAAGTCAATTTTCATTTATTTCTTGGCCTAATTTTGATGCTTTAAAATATTTGCTTTAGATGTTGCCTAAGATATATTTTACAGATCCCAATTCACAAAATATTCTACACCTTTTGTCCTTCTTGACTTCCCCAATTTCAGACTTTTCATAGATCTGAGCGCTCGTCAAAAATAGTTGTTTCGCTACAACTCGTTTTAGTCTACGTTCATCTCGAGGAAGCAAGTTTTTAAAACCTTTTACTTTGCTTCGAGTTCTCAACTTCTCTTTTCAACATTCTTCGTTATCGTTTTATTAACCTCTCTAAAGCTCATCTGATATCTCCAATATGGACATTCCCTCACTCAATAACTTTGTTCTTCAGCAGTTGTTAGATCCTTCCCTTTACCTACGTTTTAACATATATTATAGACAAAAGAAAAATAGTTTTTTTATTAGATTTCAGAGGTCTTAAGCTAATCTGCATAACTTCAGTCAGTTCATTTTCGTAAATTCCAAATATCTCAAAAACTAATTATTGAAAAAAGGTAGAAAATGTAATTAAATATTTTACGAAGGGTGAAAATGGACGAGTTAAAATTTGGAAATATTGTTTCAGAACATTTTCAGTTATTGATGTCTATTTGATTTGCATAATAACTTCATGAGGCGGTAGAACAAACGTTAATTTTTGATTCTCTCACTATGCCTTCACTAAAAGTTCGTCTAAATTAAAACTTCAAAATATCATATGTGAGCGATTGATAAATAAATAAATAAATAAATAATTATGTCAGCAAGGCTTCAAGAGCAGCAGTAAGACAAGGGAAGCGGTGGCCACGTCGGTAAAGGACGACAGGAAGATCAGTGGTGCTAGTAGCAGGCAGAAATGAAGAACATTAGGGTTAAGGTTTCAAGTTCTAAATTCAGAATTGTCCCACGGGAATGGGAATTACAGTTTCCATTTGTGAATTCGGTGATATGGTAGTTGTGAGCTCAGTGCCAAATGATCGGGTCTAGACTTAATGGAAACATTGAAGAGCTATAATTGAAGAGTACTAAAGAAAGGCAAGACGATGTACCCCTTGAGATAAATAGCTGAACGAGACCAATTTCAGATTAAACAAAGTGTGAAGTTCGAAATTCTATGACGGCTACTCTGATCGACAAGCGTCTGATGAAGGCCGGTAGGTTCAACGACTGAAACGTTTTGATAACAACAACAAAGATGGGGATAGTAGTCGGAATGTAAATTTTGTATATCATGTTAATAACACAGGTAATCCTTTATTAATAACTGTGAAAAAATCAAATAGCGAATAAAGAAGTCAATAGGAAAAAATATCTCTAGACATGGACAGCCCTTTCGCCGAAATTGATTAATGACGGATTCTGTTCGAAAACACCTGAAGATTGTACGGATCGACAGGCACTTTAAGGACGCAAGAGTGCACAACGGATGAGTCGTTTTCATAATAAAAAAGATGAGGATAATAGTCAGAGTGTTATTCTTTTTTTTTTTAATTGGTATCACAAATGTAAAACTTACTGCCTTACATGGGGTGATATCGATTTAATTTGCTAAAATTAAACAAAGAGACGCCAAAGTTACAGCAGGCACTGTGTTTTAATGGATAGAGGCTCGGAAAGCCGAGTTCGAATTCCAGTCGAATCCATTACATTCACTTACATGCTAATACCCTTAGGAAAGTTATGAATCCTCATCACCTCCCCAGCTATGGGTAAATAGCAGAACAGACCGGGTTCTATAGTTCTAGGTGAGGCACGGTGAAGTAATGGATAGCGGCTTGGATTGAGGAATCGGAGAGCCGAGTTCGAATTCCAGTCGAATCCATTACATTCACTTACGTGCTAACACCCTTGGGAAAGGTGCGAATCCTCTTTCTTCTCCCTCCAGCTATGGGTAAAATAGCAGGACAGACTGTTCTATAGCCTTGGATGGCAACTGGTCTAGGAGAATGAAAACTCTGAATTCAAACCTGTTTCTTAGACGAGGGGTGAATGGAGTCTCTCTGAGCGTTGGTTGGCAATCCATTTAGTGTTGGTGTCACGATAAAAACACCCTTGATAGCCCTAGCGAAGCATAAAGAATTCAGCTATTTGACAAGATTATGAACTACACCAATCAAGGTATTGGTGAGTTCAATCTCGGCTGAGGCCGCAAGATGATGATAGTCCTGGATGGAGCTGATCGTACTGTGGGAAAAAATCTGCCTCTTCAGTCATGTATCGAAAGATACATGATCGCCTAAGCGTGTATCACGTTTGGCACATAACTGACTGAGTTACAAGATGTTTAGAAGAACCAGGAACAGAAAACTTAATAATGTGCGGGAGGAGGAAATAGTAATCAGGAGGACAGTAGATAGCGATTGGCAATGCGTTGAAATATTTGCAGATTAATGTAAATATAACTTTTTTCGGTATCAAAAACAAGTTGATGCTTATGTTAATATAATTAACATGTTTAATTTTATGTTAATATAATTAAACATATTTTAATTTTTTGTTAATATAATTAAACATGTTTAATTTTTTAACCTCAGAAGGACATATTTAGTATTCGTTCATATTTTTATAACACTTCCCAAAAGAGGTCGTTGCACTTTAAGATCTATTTTATTCAAGGTCATGATAATCAGTTGTAATGGCTGCAATAACATCAAACTGAAATTTTGTTTAATATTTAGATTTTTTTGTTTTGTTTTTTTGTCTATTAGATGACTGTATTTTATCTGTCTGCCGAAAATATTTACAGTCAATGAAGTCATTAGAAATTGAATGGAAGGCATAATCTAATTCCATACATATCCAGGCATGAAAGAGTTGAAGTCGACGTCAGTGTTCGGCTAAAGTCACAAAGTTTGGAAACAATCAGAAGCAGACGAAATCGCAAGAACACCGAAATTGAAATTATGATGTATACACGTAGACATCAAGAGAGGTGGGCATGAAGAAAACATGGGTTTTTTTTACGGTTTTCAAATTTTTCGATATCGGCACACCGATAAGTTGCCCTGTTTTTCTTGATCAAATTTTGTAGCTAATTGATCATGGGTTTTTTTTACGGTTTGCTGACTGATACTAATTGATTGATGGGGTTTTTTTTCGGTTTACCTGAAATTAACAGTTTTAATTGATTGATGGGGATACGGTTTACCAAAAAAATTGATTGATGGGGTTTTTTTACGGTTTACCAAATTTTGGAAAATGATGGGGTTTTTTTTTTACGGTTTACCAAATGACCATGGGTTTTTTGTTTTACCAAAAGCTAAATTGATGCGTTTTTTACGGTTCACCATGATTTGGGGTTTTTTTAACCAAATTTGTACACGGTTTACCAAATTTGGGCTAATTGATTGAACCCCAAAGAACTAATTGATTGATGGGTTTTTTTTTTTCGGTTTACCAAAAGTTCGGCGGACCACAATTGATGACACGGTTTACCAAATTTTGTAGCTAATTGATTGATGGGGGGTTTACCAAATTTTTTTAATTGATTAGACAAAATGCAATTGATGGGGTTTTTTACGGTTTACCCCCTAATTGATTGATGGGGTTTTTTTTTAAGAACCAAATTTTGTAGCTAATTGATTGATGGGGTTTTTTTTTACGGTTTACCAAATTTTGTAGCTAATTGATTGATGGGGGTTTTTACGGTTTACCAAATTTTGTAGCTAATTGATTGATGGGGTTTTTTTTTCACCAAATTTTGTAGCTAATTGATTGACCTACGGTTTACCAAATTTTGATTAATTGATTGATGGGGTTTTTTACGGTTTACCAAATTTTGTAGCTAATTGATTGATGTTTTTTTTTACGGTACCACCAAATGATTGATGGGGTTTTTTTACGGTTTTACCAAATTTTGTAGCTAATTGATTGGGGTTTTTTTACGGTTTACCAAATTTTGTAGCTAATTGATTGATGGGGTTTTTTACGGTTTACCAAATTTTGTAGCTAATTGATTGATGGGTTTTTTTTTTGGGTTTACCAAATTTTGTAAGATTGATGGGTTTTTTTTTACGGTTTACAAATTTTGTAGCTCATTGATTGATGGTTTTTTTACGGTTTACCAAATTGATTGATGGGGTTTTTTACGGTTTACCAAATTTTGTAGCTAATTGATTGATGGGGTTTTTTTACGGTTTACCAAATTTTGTAGCTAATTGATTGATGGGTTTTTTTTTACGGTTTACCAAATAGCTAATTGATTTGGGTTTTTTTAGGTTTACCAAATTTAATAGCTAATTGATTGATGTTTTTTTTTACGGTTTACCAAATTTTGTAGCTAATTGATTGATGGGGTTTCAAATTTTTTTTTTACGGTTTACCAAATTTTGTAGCTAATTGATTGATGGGGTTTTTTTTACCAAATTTTGTAGCTAATTGATTGATGGGGTTTTTACGGTTTACCAAATTTTTAGCTAAATTGATGGGTTTTTTTTTACGGTTTACCAAATTTTGTAGCTAATTGATTGATGGGGTTTTTTACGGTTTACCAAATTTTGTAGCTAATTGATTGATGGGGTTTTTTGTAGCTAAATGATTAATTGATTGATGGGTTTTTTTTTACGGTTTACCAAATTTTGTAGCTAATTGATTGATGGGGTTTTTTTTACGGTTTACCAAATTTTGTAGCTAATTGATTGATGGGGTTTTTTACGGTTTACCAAATTTTTTTAATGGTTTACCAAATTTGTAGCTAATTGATTTGGGGTTTTTTTTTTTACGGTTTACCAATTTTGTAGCTAATTGATGATTTGGGGTTTTTTTTTAAATTTACCAAATTTTACCAAATTTTGATTGATTGATTGTTTACCAAATTTTGTAGCTAATTTTTGATACGGTTTACCAAATTTTGTAGCTAATTGATTGATGGGGTTTTTTTACTAATTGATTGATGGGGGTTTACCAAATTTTGTAGCTAATTGATTGATGGGGTTTTTTACGGTTTACCAAATTTTGTTTAGCTAATTGATTGATGGGTTTTTTTACGGTTTACCAAATTTTGTAGCTAATTGATTTGGGGTTTTTTTACGGTTTACCAAATTTTGTAGCTAATTGATTGATGGGGTTTTTTTACGGTTTACAAATTTTGTAGCTAATTGATTGATGGGGTTTTTTACGGTTTACCAAATTTTGTAGCTAATTGATTGATGGGATTTTTTACGGTTTACCAAATTTTGTAGCTAATTGATTGATGGGGTTTTTTTACGGTTTACCAAATTTTGTAGCTACCAAATTGATTGATTGATGGGGTTTTTTTACGGTTTACCAAATTTTGTAGCTAATTGATTGATGGGGTTTTTTTTTTACCAAATTTTTAGCCAAATTGATTGATGGGTTTTTTTTTTGCTAATTGATTGATGGGGTTTTTTTTACGGTTTACCAAATTTTGTAGCTAATTATTGATGGGGTTTTTTGTTTACCAAATTGATGGGTTTTTTTTACGGTTTACCAAATTTTGTAGCTAATTGATTGATGGGGGTTTTTTTACGGTTTACCAAATTTTGTAGCTAATTGATTGATGGGGGTTTTTTTACGGTTTACCAAATTTTGTAGCTAATTGATTGATAACAATGTTTTTACCAAATTTTGTAGCTAATTGATTGATGGGGTTTTTTTTACGGTTTACCAAATTTTGTAGCTAATTGATTGATGGGGACGGTTTGGGGTAATTGATTTTTTTACGGTTTACCAAATTAGCTAATTGATTGATGGGGTTTTTTTTACAAATTTTGTAGCTAATTTTGATGGGGGGTTTTTTACGGTTTACCAAATTTAGCTTAATTGATTGATGGGGTTTTTTTTACGGTTTACCAAATTTTGTAGCTAATTGATTGATGGGTTTTTTTTTTACGGTTTACCAAATTTTGTAGCTAATTGATTGATGGGGGGTTTACCAAATTTTTACTAATTGATTGATGGGGGTTTACCAAATTTTGTGGGGGCTACCAAATTTTGATTTGACGGGGGGGTTTTTTTGTAGCTAATTGATTGATGGGGGTTTTTTTACCAAATTTTGTAGCTAATTGATTGATGGTTTTTTTTACGGGGGCTAATTGATTGATGGGGTTTTTTACGGTTTACCAAATTTTGTAGCTAATTGATTGATGGGGTTTTTTACGGTTTGCAAATTTTGTAGCTAATTGATTGATGGGGTTTTTTACGGTTTACCAAATTTTGTAGCTAATTGATTGATGGGGTTTTTTTTTTACGGTTTACCAAATTTTGTAGCTAATTGATTGATGGGGTTTTTTACGGTTTACCAAATTTTGTAGCTAATTGATTGATGGGTTTTTTTTACGGTTTACCAAATTTTGTAGCTAATTGATTGATGGTTTTTTTTTACGGTTTACCAAATTTTGTAGCTAATTGATTGATGGGTTTTTTTTTACGGTTTACCAAATTTTGTAGCTAATTGATTGATACGGTTTACCAAATTTTGGGTTTTTTACGGTTTACCAAATTTTGTAGCTAATTGATTGATGGGGTTTTTTTACGGTTTACCCAAATTTTGTAGCTAATTGATTGATGGGGTTTTTTTTTACGGTTTACCAAATTTTGTAGCTAATTGATTGATGGGGTTTTTTTTTACAAATTTTACCAAATGGGGTTTTTTTTTGTAGCTAATTGATTGATGTTTTTTTTTTTTACGGTTTACAAATTTTGTAGCTAATTGATTGATGGGGTTTTTTTACGGTTTACCAAATTTTGTAGCTAATTGATTGATGGGGTTTTTTTTACGGTTTACCAAATTTTGTAGCTAATTGATTGATGGGGGGTTTTGGGTTTTTACCAAATTTTTAGCCAAATTTTTTAGCAAATTGATTGATGGGGTTTTTTTTTACGGTTTACCAAATTTTGTAGCTAATTGATTGATGGGTTTTTTTACGGTTTACCAAATTTTAGCTAATTGATTGATGGGGTTTTTTTACGGTTTACCAAATTTTGTAGCTAATTGATTGATGGGGTTTTTTACGGTTTACCAAATTTTGTAGCTAATTGATTGATGGGGTTTTTTACGGTTTACCAAATTTTGTAGCTAATTGATTGATGGGGGTTTTTTTACGGTTTACCAAATTTTGTAGCTAATTGATTGATGGGGTTTTTTTTTTACGGTTTACCAAATTTTGTAGCTAATTGATTGATGGGGGTTTTTTACGGTTTACCAAATTTTGTAGCTAATTGATTGATGGGTTTTTTTTTACGGTTTACCAAATTTTGTAGCTAATTGATTGATGGGTTTTTTTTTACGGTTTACCAAATTTTGTAGCTAATTGATTGATGGGGTTTTTTTTTTACGGTTTACCAAATTTTGTAGCTAATTGATTGATGGGGTTTTTTACGGTTTACCAAATTTTGTAGCTAATTGATTGATTGATGGGTTTTTACGGGTTTACCAAATTTTGATTGATGGGGTTTTTTACGGTTTAATTGATTGATGGGGTTTTTTTACGGTTTACCAAATTTTGTAGCTAATTGATTGATGGGGTTTTTTTTACGGTTACCAAATTTTGTAGCTAAAATGGGGTTTTTTGTAGCTAAATTGATTGATGGGGTTTTTTTTTACGGTTTACCAAATTTTGTAGCTAATTGATTGATGGGGTTTTTTTACGGTTTTAGCTAATTGATTGATGGGGGTTTTTACGGTTTACCAAATTTTGTTTAATTGATTGATGGGGTTTTTTACGGTTTACCAAATTTTGTAGCTAATTGATTGATGGGTTTTTTTTACGGTTTACCAAATTTTGTAGCTAATTGATTGATGGGGTTTTTTACGGTTTACCAAATTTTGTAGCTAATTGATTGATGGGGTTTTTTTTTACCAAATTTTGTAGCTAAATTGATGGGGTTTTTTTTACGGTTTACCAAATTTTTGTAGCCAAATTTTGCTAATTAATTGATTGATGGGGTTTTTTTTAGCGGTTTTTACCAAATTTTGTAGCTAATTGATTGA